CTGTTTACAGCCCTTTGGACATGGGGGTTACTTATGACCCTGCTAAGAGGGTGCTCTGGAAAGGAGGAACAAGCCCTTCTCGGTAAATTCACAGGTAACCACCCTCTTTGTTCTGTTGAACAATACAATCACAGTAAACGCCTGTGACTTTGCAACAGCTGAGCAACTTCTCTTTTTGCAGCAATTATAGAGAATTCACTCTTTAAACATATCCCCCATCCAAGAAAGTGCCCATACAGTAGTTTAGTGACACCCGCTATCAAGACTGTTTCCCTGAATTTCCAAGCTTTTTCAAATGCCAATTGGCAAACGTAAATGCCAGCAGCAGTGGCAGAATTGCCAAGCACGTCTTTAAAAAAAAAAAAAAACCCCACTCAGGCCTCCAAAGACAGAGGCTGCTTTTAAAAAGCCTGAGATGATGCTTTTAAAAGTACACTTTGGGGGTTCCCCTTCCCCCCCCCTTTTTTTTTTGCCTTTTGGTCACTCAAGCAACTATAAATATATTTTTTTAATGGCAGTGGATAGTCTCATAATCCATTCTTTGCAGGAGCTGGGGGATTTGAGAACAAACACCCACTCCTGTGAGACTTGTGATAAAGCGGCAATTTAACGGAGGGTTGGACTTCGGGGCTAGATTTTTAAAAAGAAAAAGGTGAAATCCGCGCTCCGCAGCAGTAAATGACAGAGCTCCGCTACCCCTTGGTTTCAACAGGGCCTGGATTTCACCCTGTGCTTCCTCCCGCGTTTTATGGCCCAGACCCGCATCTGCACATGGTAAAATCCCCCCCTTGGCGGGAGCCGGGAATGCACCTGCAGCGCCTGGCGCAAAGCTGGCACCGAGGAGTGACCCCCACACGCGGGCTCAGCGGAACAGCGATTATCCCCTGGCCCGGGGCTCGGCGCAGGGAGCTAGTTCCTCTCACGCCGCCCGCGGAAAGCCCCCGCTTGGCACCGCCGCCTCGCCCTGGTCCCTCCCCCGGGGCGGAGGCGGCTGCCAGGATATCTCCGCCGGCCGCGGGAGCCCCGCACTTGCTGCTACCCAGCGGGGCGGGAGGATGCGCCGCGCCGTGCTCCTCCTTCGCTTGCTGGGCGGCTTCGCTGCGCTTCTGGCTGCTGCCGCCCGGGATGCAGGTGAGGGGCCGATGCTGGAGCCCTGCGCATCCCTCTGGTCTCCTCCTTCTCCGGCCTCTTCCCCCCGCTCCACCCCGGGCCCATTTCTCCCCCTCTCTGCTTTCCTCTCTCTCGGTTTTCTTCCCTCTCTGCCCCCTGGCAGGTGCCTGCAGGTGAGTGGAGCCAGCCCTGGGTGTTTTATCACTCGGGGAAAGTGTTTTCGGCAACCCCCCAACACCACCACAAAAAAGGGGGATTTGGTGCCTGTGAAGGTTGGTGCCCAGGGCGCCCACTCTAACGGGGCCGTGCCAGGTTCTAGGAAGACACGCCGGGGTTAAAGGCCATGTATTGACAGCAGCTCCCCCCTTGCCTTATCCACACCCTCCTGGGGTCTTAAAGTGGAAAGAATGGTCACAAAACCATCTCTTGTGTCTCTCTCCCTCTATGCTGCTGGGTTACATTTGACCCTTCGCTCCCCTTGGGACAGTGAAACTAGGCTGGCCAGATTCATTATCACCTGGGCAAGGCCCTTGATCTTTCTGTGCTTTCCTTTTGCTCATCTGGGAAACAGGTGTAAGTACTCTGCCATATGTAGCCATCGGCTTAATGAAGTGTTTTGAGATTCTAATGTAAAAGGTGCTGCCAGATGCTTGTTTGTTCTTTTAGGTCAGCAGACCAAATTCTGAATTCCCTTACTCACGCATAACTCCCCACTCACAACCACCGGAGTCATGTTTAGCTCGGGACTATGGAATTTCACCCAGTTGCGACTGGCTGACTAGCTAAAGAAAGTCATCATTGCAATGGCATTTATCATGAGGATGTGGGAAGTGAGCTTTGATGCACTGTATTTTTGAAATAGAAGTACTTTATACATAGATAAATATAGTAGGTCGATGAGCACTGTCAAACCACTACCGTTCATTTGCAGAAGTGAAAGATACATGAAGAATTAAAATATTACATAGTTGCACCCCATTTCCTTTGTTCACTGCATTAAACTATAGGGTTTCTTAGCTACTGAATGAAATTTGATTTGGGAAGAATGCCTTTGTTTTATCCGGATAATGGTTGCTCCACATAGACAGTCAAAACTCTCAGAGGAGAATATCTGCTAAGACTCTTAATAGAAACAGGCGAGGCCAGACGTAATATTTCTTTTTTTATGGAAACTCTTTAGTGTAACCACTTCAATCCTTATCCTGCAACTAGTTAATAATCTTACAGGATTGTGACAACATAAAGTGCTGTTTAAGTGTTCAGTATTATTAAAATTGGCTAGGAGACTGTAGCAGTGATTCTTGGTTCAGGTAAGGCTTTTATGTCAGTGTTAAAATGTGAGTCTTCATAACTTTTTATTTTGTTGGTTTCCCACCAATTCTGAAACCCAACAGTGATTATAATTTTGCAGATGTCATTGTGGTATTTCAGTGGCCTTCAGGCTGTTAAAATCTGACTGATAAAGGAGTTTGATATCTGCCTTGAATTCAGAAAGCTCAGAAATTTCATTTTTGTAGTGGCAAGCCTTTTATTTTCACTTACATTTCTGTCCAATAATTGTTCCTTGAGTTCTAAATAAGAGAAATGGCCCCTTTTTCTTGCAGTCTGCAGGTAAGCTGGTAATAATTTTAGGGAAGTGGAGAACCTTCAGGGTTGGTGTAAGAACAGCAAAGCAAGCAGTAGTACTTGAGCTCTATTTAAATGGCTTTCACTGGGCTAAGTAACATAGCTTTGCACCATTTAGCAGAATGTTGCAAAACTTGGTGCAGAATAGTTCATGAAAAGCATTTAGAAGGCAGCATTGTGGCCTCCTAATCAAAAAGAAGCAGGAAGACAAAATAGACAAGGAGAAATCCCTCATAGCCACAATAATATTTACTGAAGTAATGAAAAACTCCCCCTGCAAGCTGTTTCCTATAACTGAACCTCTCCAAAAAAGCCCACTCTGAACAGCGTTTCCTATAACTTTGGAAAGGAGCAGGGCCGGCTCTGGCTTTTTTGCTGCCCCATGGGGGGGGGGCGGCGAGCCCTGGGGGCAGGGCGGCCAGCCCCGGCTGGGGCTCGGCTCTCCCCCCCCCCCGCGGCCCCGGGGGCCGGGGGGGGGGGGCGGGGGCCCGCCGCTCTCCCCCCGGCGGCCGGGGGGAGGGCAGCGAGCCCGGCTGTGGCCCCGCTCTCCCCGGCGGCCGGAGCGCCGCGCCGCCCCTCTCCAGGTGCCGCCCCAAGCACCAGCTTGGGTGCCTGGTGCCTGGAGCCGGCCCTGGAAAGGAGACGCACAGGAGGTTCTATTACGTCTTCTAGCTGCCTCTGTCTCTGCTGATCCATCTAATATGTGAAGTGCTCAGGTACTACAGGCACGAATATAAAGCCCTAAGAAAGAAAGAAAACTGATAAGGGAATCTAATTTAAAAGGGAAAAATTAGTAGAATAAAAGACAGAATTAAAGAAAATGTAATAGGACTGGTGTGAGTTTTTTTATTAGATATTAATTAATACAAAGTATCAAAGTTTGTATGTAGAGAGGAACACACAGACTGGGGCATTTTAACCCCTGTTCAATAAAGACTTTTTTGTTACTTTTATATGATCTTGATTTTTTTTTTATTTAAGTTGGAAAGCAATGTCTCTGAAATATCAGTCCCTTGTTTTCTGAGTTTGCGAGGTAAGAGGTTTTTCTGTGGGAATATATCCAAACATCCATCTAAAGGAATGGAAAGATTTGCAGAACATCAGGATAACAGGTGCTCCATGTGCACTATCAAAACTGTCTGTGGGAAATAGTCACCAACCCAGCTAATAGAGACTGAATATTCATTTATTTATAGGAATGCTTTAGTGTAAACACTTACATCCCGGTCCTGCAATTAGCTGTCACTATGCTCAGGGGTCTGCTTTTTTGGGACAGTTGTAGGATTGGGGGCTAACATGTAAATATTAAACATGAGATGTTTTGTTCTAGCTTACCAGCCTGATTGAGAGGAAGGAGGGAGTGTGGTCTAGTTGAGAAAGCACTAGACGAGGACTCAAGGGATCTGGTTACAGTGGGAATTTATTCATATATTTTAAGGCCAGAAGGGATCAATTATAATTATTTAGTCTCCAGCTGATAGTGCCACTGAACAAGGGCATAATTTATGACACTGGACTAAGGAAATCCAATGATGGATCTTTATAACCAGATGGAAATGGGGTGTGTGTTAATCAATAGTTTAATATCTGGAAGAATGTTATGAGGCAGATCCTCAGTTCTTTCTTTGGCCATGTCTATACTAGTGAGGTTACCGCACTACAGCTGTACTGATGCAGCTGTGCCGCTGTTAGATTCCTCATGTTGCCTCTCTATGCCAACAGGAGAGAGCGCTCCCTTCGACAGAATAAAACCAACCCAATGAGCAGTGGTAGGTATGTTGGCGGGAGAAGCACATAGTGCTGTGCACACTACAACTTATACCAGTGAAATGTATGTTGCTCAGGGGGTGTTTTGCCAGCATATATGCTAGTGTAGATATGGCCTTTTTAAAATTGTTGTTTTATCTGCCTGCATCTGCCATGTTTGCATTTTATGTACCAGCACAGTAGATGTGGCTTTTCTTTCTCATGTGTGTTTCCTTTCTTGCTAGTTGGCTGTGGAGTCCCAACGAGGTTAAGCTTTGCTGAGCTGAAGAGCGAGTATAAAAA